CAGGGACAAGAACAGTGGCCGCCCCTACTGCCCTCTCTCTGGGAGGCTCTTCTGCGAGAGAACCTCCCCGACCACCCTGCGCGCACTTGGACGTCCCCTCGTGCCCCGCGCGACGCCCTCCTCGGGTTCCGGGGAGGTCTCCTCGCGGAGCTCGGCTCCCTGCTCCCCCCGCGCGCCCCACGTACGCGGAACCCGCTGGGGAGGGGCCTCCCCCCAGCGATGGCCATGTGGCCCCGTCTCGCTCTCCGCCGCGCGCGCGAGCCGCCGCGGGCGACGGACGTCCACTCCAGCCAGGGCCCCAGCCACTGGCGGGCAGCCTCCCGCCGGCCAACCGCGGAGCCGGCACCGCGAGCCCGCCCCTCCGGCGCACAGGGCGCCATGGCTCTGCACGCCCTGCCCCCGAGGAGGCGTGCCGCGCCGCGGACGCCGCGGCCGAGCGCCCCCCCCCCCCCCCTTCGCCCACCTCGGCGGCGTCTCGCTGGAGGACCTCTCCCGGCACTTGCGACTCTTGGGTCACGTCCAGGCAGCCATCTGGCGCGAACATCTCGAGGAGGTAGAGCGTGGCCCAAGGCTGACCCGCCGCATGCTCGGACGGCGTGCTCACTGCCTTCCTCCTGCGCGCCTATGGCCACAAGTAGCATCCTGCCTCGACGATCCCCCCGTCTGGCCGCCTCCATGGCCAGGACCCTGTCGAGGCCTACCCTCAAGCCAGCCTGGTGGATAGGATTGCTGCCATCCTCAGGGCGGGGTGGCCAGATATCTGGAGGGAGTTCCTCACCGCCGTCTTTCCGCCACGGTCTCCCGCTGCGGTGGGACTCTGGGCAGCTCCGCAACTGGCGCACCCTCAACTCTGGCGACAGTCGCGCACTGGCCGCGCAGCTAGTCCGCCAACAGCCCGGGCCGCCACGGCGGAACCTGCTGTGAGGCGCGGCGCCCCCGCCGGCGAACAGTGCCGACCCCGCACCCGGCGCCGCCGCAGCCAGCGCTGGCCCCACCGCCGTCAAGTCTGGCTCCTCCGCAGACAGGCCAACGGGGCCCCCGCCATGCCGGGTGGTATCTTGGTTCGTAGAGGGAGGGTCCTCCCAAGGTGGGGCTGGCGAACGGGCCCAGCTGGATGCTCCCGCTTAACGCGTTTCCTTTTTCCAGGGGCCGTTCGGAGCGATTTTCCTTTCAACCCCACCTTTGCCCCCCCACCTTTCTGCCCTCCCGGTAGCATGGGAGGATCAGAAGGACGCGCCCGCTGCCCCCACCGCGGCCAGCCCCGCAGCGCCAACCCTCTGCCCCGAGCGGCGCCCCAGCTCGCGCGGCAGCACAGGCGCGTCCTCTCCGGCGCGGCAGGCCTCCACGACCTCCTCCCCTGCCGAGGTCCTCCGCGCACCTCTGCGACGCTGGCGCCCCGGGCCCCGACGCTGGCCCGAGCCGCTGGCTCCCCCCCCGCGCGCGAACGCCGCCCGCCTGCCACGGGGCGGCGCCCCTCGCGCGAGACCGCTGGGCCGAACTCCGCCGCCTCTCCTGGCCCCGCGCCCCCCCCCCCCCCCCTCTGCTCTCGGGCGGGTGGGGGGGAGGGCGCCCGTCCCGGCTCGGCTCCTTCGGCCGGGTCGGGGCCAGGGGAGAGCTTTTTGGATCCCGTGTCGCCTCCACCCCAGCCGGTCACCGGCGCCCCCTCCCCTGGCCGGCCGTGGCGCACCTTCACGGCCCCTCCCCCCGCCTCGGGACCCCAGGCGCTGGGGCTCCGATCGGTGTTCGCCAAGCCTCCGTGGCGCCCGGCCCGTGCGCGCGAGCTGTCTACGCAGGCCTCTGCGTCCGCAGCGGGTGCCCAGCGCATGCTGGCTTCGGCACCGCGGCCCCCCGTCGCTGCCACATTCAGGGGGAGGCCGCCCGCCGAGGCCTCGTGCAGGCATCCGAGCAAAGAGGGCCCCCAAGTCGCAGGAGGCGGTCAAGCTGTGGCGGGACTGGTGCCACGAGCACGGGCCCCCCCCTGCTTGGTGGGACGCACGGCGACCCCGACCTCTACACCGCCGAGCAGCCACATCCCCGCGCGCTGCTGCCGCGGAGCTGGCGGCAGCGGCGCACCGCTCTCACAGCCCGGCTTCCCGTGCAGCCCTGCAAGCGTCGTGGCTTTGGGCGGAAATTGATGCTCTCTCCGTGCCGCACAGCGGGGCCGCCCTGCCGTGGTAGCGGCGCCGCCACGATGCGCAGCCACTGCAGCCTCCGACCAGCACTTGTGGCCTGTGTGGAGCGGCAGCCAATACTGGGGAGAGGGTCTCCTCTCTCCGTTCGGCCTTCCCTCGCTCTGCCCGCGTGGGAGAGCTCCCTCGCTGGGTGCGCGCCCCAGCGCCCCCCCCCCGCTGCGCCTCGTCCGTCGTGCGCCTGCTGTGGGACTCGGGCAGCTCCCTCTGCGCCCCCTCTCTGGGGCCCACCCCCCGCTACCCTTCCTGCGGGTGGCCACGTCGCCCCCGTCGCCCCCTTCCACGCCGCGGGGGCGGTGCCGGGGCTGGGCGTCGGTGCTGCTGGGCCTCGTCCCCTGGGGAGGTCCCGGCGCCGCGTGCTCCCACCCTCGTGCCGAATGGGAGACATCTGCTGCGCTGCCGCCGGCCCCGAGTGGCGCTTGGGCTGTCTTGCCCAGGCCCTCAGGCTCCCCGCCACGCCTGGTGTGTCCGCCATGGCTGGAGGGTCTTTCCGCCACGGGTTCACTACCTCCAGGCTGCCCCGGGGCCGCTGCAGCCCGCGGCCTCCCCAAACCTTCCCACCCACGGGAGTCCCCCGCACACTTCCCTACTGTGCGCCGTGCCTGGGAAGGAGACTCCGTACCCTTCCGCAGGGCACATGACCCCGTTTGGGCCACTCGCTGCGCCCCTCTTTCCCTGGGCGGCCGCGCGCACTCGCCCTTCTTTGCTGGCTAAGGTGCCCAGAGGGTGGCGTCTCCCGAGGACGCTTCCTGTTTCACCACGCCTGTTTCACCGCACTGATGGCCCTGGCGCGCACTGGCGCCCCACCGCTGACCCGCCGCTTGGCGGGTACTGTCGTTTCGAGGTCTTCTCCCACTGCCCAGGCCCCGGCACGCAGATGGCACGGTTGATCCACGTTTGTATCCCTGCCCCACTGTCTGAGGGGCCAGCCGCGCGCACTCGTTGCGCTCACTTTGCTTGACTTGCTTCGTCTTGTCTCTGCGCGCGAGGCGCGACGCCGAAAAGTGCGCGTGTGTGTGTGTGTGTGTGTGTGTGTGTGTGTGTGTGTGTGTGTGTCTGTGCGTGTGTCTGTGTGTGTGTGTGTGTGTGTGTGCGTGTGTGCGTTATCCTCGTTTCCTGGCTGCTGCATGTTTCGTTTGGACTTTCAGTTCATCCAACACACCCTTCGCCTGCATGTTGCACCGTGCGACATTTTGTACGCTGCGCCTTCGACAATGCTCGATCGCAATTAGCACTTCCATCTGCTGCTCGCGCTCGAGGACCCCTGCGCCGCTGACTGAACAGTGTGTGTGTGTGTGTGTGTGTGTGTGTGTGCGTGTGTGCGTGTGGCGAGCGGCGCTGCGGGCGAAGCCAACCAGGGTGAGGCGCGAACCCCAGAACGCCAGCGCAGCCAGTGGCAGCAGCGCGCCAGCATGCGGGACTGCAGAACCCAACACACCAGAGGAGCCGCCCACGCGCGTCTGGATGGTCCACTTCGCTGAGCCAGGGCACGACGTGAACGACGAGGGCGACACAGCAGCGCCTGGGCAGGAGGACGAAGTTGCTGCGCCAAGCTCAGACACCCAGGCATTGGCACCGAACCGCAGCAGCAGCGCCACCCCAAACTGGAACCCCAACGAAGCAGACAGAGGAGGTGCGCCGCATGCGTCCACGCCAGGCTCGCGAAACCCCGTGGGGCGCCCCGCACCCAGAGGTTGAAACCGTCACCGACGGCGCTCGCCGCGCAGCTCTCATTCCAAACATCAGGCCCTTGGCCTTGCATCAAACGGCGGCCCCGCGCCTGGCGTCAAGGTGGGCGAGCAACTTCTGCCCAGGGAGACGACGGCGCCCGCCCCGCCTGCTGGTATACGATGGCAGGTGAAGCGGGCGACCCGCTCCGTCTGGACCTTCCCGGAGGATCGGTGGCAGGACCAGTCGAGGAGGTTCAGACGGGGCTCCCTCTGTGCGCCCTGACCGGAGCGGAATGGTTCACGATCTGGGACGGAGCAGAAATTGTTCACCTGGCCTGGATCATCTGGGGCGGCCAGCCCGTCGGGGGGACAGACAACACCATTGAACCCATGACCAACGATGATGAGCAAAGAGTTAACGAGACCTGGTTGTGGTGCTGAATGCATTCCCCGCGGGTCAAATCCTGGTGGATTCCAGCAGCGGGACCGCCAGGCCCAGGCTATTGGCGGGAAAGGAGACGGCGGCAAGCGACCCAGCGGTGCCTCGTGGCCCTCTGGCGACCATTCTCGCATGCGAGGCTTGTCATCGCAGACCTGGTTGGCCCACAGGACAGGGCGGACATTGTCCGCTCCGTTCCCTCGTCGAACCTGGTCGCTTGTGAGTTTTACGCGTGATTTGTGAGTGTGGTTCGGCGCCTTCATCCCATGAGGTGCCTTGCCTTTGCTCCGCCTGCTTGTGCACCGATCAGGTGCTCTCCTTTTGGGCGCGCCATCCACCCCAAGTGGTGCGCCGTCCTCCCTTTTCTTGCGGAGCGTCATCCACCCCGGGTGGTGCGCCTCCCCTCCACCGCGGCGCTTGCCATCCGTGGCAGCGCCCCGGCTTAGGTGCCTGCTTGTGCATCGATTGTTTGTTTTCCTTCCGTTGATGGGCGCGCCAGTCACCCCGGGTGGTGCGCCCTCCTCTCTCCCCCTGGGGCGCGCCGTCCACCCCGGGTGGTGCGCTCCCATCCCCGCGGCGCCGCCCGTCCGCGGTGCCGCTCCTGACGCCTGCTTGTGCACCGATCAAGTGCGTCGCAACAGTACCTGGATTCGAGCTGCTTCCCGCCGCCAGCTGGGGAGCCGCTGCCGCCGACAGTTGCGTGGCCCCTGCATGGCGCGCGCGCCGCCTGCCCGGGCCTAGTGAGCTTCCCGTCAGCCATGACCGTGTGCCGGCTTGCCCGTGGTGCGTGCTGGGAGACGCTTCGCTGCCAGTTTGACTTGGGTGCCCGCGCCTCTGCGCCCGTCGCTCCCTTTCCGCCTCCTGGCAGTTAGCTGCGGAGGCCCTCGCCCCGCCCCCACTGTGGTGGGGTGCCACCCGCCTTCGGCTGTGACGCGTGCGCTGGCCGAGGTTCGGCTTCGCTGCCTTCCAGCTCCCCCGCCATCGTCGGCTGCGCGGGCACTTTTGCCTTGCCGCCAGCCCTCCGCACGGCCACCCGGGTCCCTGCGGGCGCCCGTCCGCCGCCCGCCGCGGCTGACCCTGGGCCGCCGCCACCATCCTAATTAGTTTTTGCCGTCGCGGCTTGCTGGGTGGACGCGCTCGCACGCGACCGCCGCAGCATCGCTTCCGTACTTGGCCAGTCTGGCGGGATTTCCCCCCCATTCCCGCCATGGAGGCCACCGCTTGCAGCGCAGCCCGCGCCCTGCAGCCAGCCCAGCTTTGTTACGCAGAGTTTTGTCAATTGGGGCGCCGCGTACGGCTCCGCCGTTTTTGGTCATCGTCACTTATTCCGTTCCTAATATCGTGCTTGTTTTTAGAGCGCTGCAGCCGCTGCTCCCGCCCTTGGGTGTGGCCGCGACGTCGCCCGGCGGCCGTTGCCAGGGGAGCACCACCGGCCAGCCGCTCCGGCCGTTGGGCAGCCGGCCCCGCCGCGTGAGCGCTCTTGCTCTTCCCCCCTCTCCCGCGGTCGCCCCCCCCCCCCCCCCCACTTTCCATTCTTGCGCCAGTGAATTCGCAATGCCATCACCTGGCTTGCCCGAGCTCGCGTGCGGAATGCTGTTGCCGCGCTGCGACGTTAAAGTGTGTGTGTGTGTCTGTGTGTGTGTCTGTATGTGTGTGTGTGTGTGTGTGTGTGTGTGTGTGTCTGTGTGTGTGTGTGTGTGTGTGGCGAACAGCGCTGCGAGCTTCCGCTCCGTGGTAATTATGTTTCGTCATGGCGTCGGGGGTCGATTGGCGACGACGACGGTTTCCCTCCTGGCATTGGGTTTCGTGCTCCTGCCAGGGGTTGCTCGGAGCGCTTCTCTGTGGGCTCAAGTGCGCGCGGTCCTGTCACTCTCCCTGCCGCCTGCGCCTTGCGTTTCCTTGGACGCGATCCATGTTCACTGCTTTGAAAGGCGAGTGCCATTTTACAGGCTGTACAGCCTCCGTGTTCCCCTGCGTCACGTGACGGTTGTTCCCAGCGTTTGGCGGTGCGCCGTCCTGCCGTGCTCACGCGCGCTGCGGTGTTTACAGCGCCTTGGTGCTCGCATGCAAGGTGATGCCGCTTCGCAGGCCCGCATGTACACACAGTCGTTGTATTTCCCACAAGCTTCGGGCTGCTCACAGGCATCGGTGCGCTCGAGAGCACGCTGATAGTCATAGACATGCCTAGCGGTCCTCGAAATCTCCCTGCGTCTTCATCTCCACCCTGCAGGAGCCCAGACCCTCGGAAAACCCCTGGTCGGGAAACCTTCGGGCCCCCTGGGACAACAGGTGCCGGCTGCCTCGTTCAGTCTTTCGAGATCGGCTCACAGAACGGTGCTGCTGCACACGTCCCGGCCCCGAGAAGGTGCGCGGCGCGCGCGCCGCGCTCGCTGCGGCCCCGACGGCCGCAGCGACGGCGATCACGACGATGGCCACGGCTCCCCACGGCGGGGCGGTTCGCCCCAGCGGGGGCGGCTCGCTCTTGGGCGGCGGGTGGAGGACCCGGTTCCACCTCGAGACGGATCGGCAGGCCGCGTCTTCTCTTGGCTGTCTGCAGCGCTCGTCGAATGTTGCCTCCGGATGTTCTCACGGGAGACGGGCTCAGCCGCGCAGACACGCTTCTCCTCTTTCGGGGCCTCCTGCGGGGACCCTCGCCGCCACGGTCGGATCTGCTTCGGAATACTGGTCCAGCCTCGCCCCAGGAGAGGTCCTGGGGGCAGCGTTATCCGTATCCTTCTGCCGCCGCCAGGTTTCTCGTTTTGGAGGTTTTTCAGAGGTCGCCTCGCCTCAGCCCCTCTTGTATGCCGTACCTCCTGTCAGAATTATTTGCTCCCTCCCACCTTCCTCCCCTCCTCCCTCCCCTGGTGGGCCCTGGAAACTGCAGGACCGTTTTTTCATCATTTCCGAAACAGCGTCTCTTGAAAATAGAAACGGCAGAGAAACGGCGACCAGAAACGGCGACAAAAACGAATCTTTAAATTGGAGCCAGAGTCGGAACCGGCAAGAAAACGGCGACGGAATAGGCAACAAAGACGGCGCCGGAACCAGCAAAGAAACGGCACAACGGAAGCGGTGAAAAAACAGCCTTGTCGTTTTCAGGGCCCAAGAAGTCCCCGCCTCCCTCACCGCCCTTCAACGCGCACCAGCAGCGGCGTGATGGCCGTTCGTGCTGCTGCTTTCGTACCGGCGGGGCAGGTCGCACCAGCGGCTCGCGCGCGTCGGGCCAGGCAGCGAGAGGGCTCTTAGGCGGCAGTTGCGTTTGGCCCTGCGTGTCGGTGCTTTCGTTCCCTGGGCTTTTCCCGCGCCCAGCAGATGATTACCCAGGGGCTCCTTTAGAGGCTATCACGAGGTTGGAAGTTGTTCCTTTGGCTGTCAGTTTGACTTGCGACATCTGCCGTCAACTTCGCCATCACGCCGGTGTCACTTTGTATTTGCTCGCGCCCTGCGTCATTTTCACTTCCAGCCCGTGCCACGAGCGCCCAGTGGAATTCTTTGAAGAAGCGTGTTCTACCGCTGCTGGCGGAAAACCGGGGGGGTCATTTGGGGTTCCCAACCCGTACCCCCCCCACACCTTCGAAAACCGGGGGGGGATCACTAAAAGTTCGAACCCCCTCCCCCCCCCAGTCCATGAAAAGGGGAAGGGGTCACTACCGGTTCGGACCTCCCCCTCTCGCCGCCCGCCGGCAAACGATTCTTGCTCGTCGGGAGAGTGGTGGGACAGTGGTGGGGACACTGGGACAGTGGTGGGGACGGTTGTGGTGGGAATAGTGGTGTGGGGACAATGGGACAGTGGTGGGGACGGTGGTGGTGGGGACAGTGGCTGGGGGACAGTGGGGACAGTGGTGGGAGCAGTGGGGACAGTGGGACAGTGGTGGGGACGGTAGTGGTGGGAACAATGGTGAGGGCGGTGGTGAGGACAGTGGTGGGACAATGGGACAGTGGTACAGTGGGGACAGTGGTGGGGACTGGGGACAGTGGGACAGTTGCGGGGACAGTGGGGGGACAGTGGGACAGCACAGTGGACAGCGGTGGGGACAGAGGGACAGTGGTGGGGACAGTGGGGACAGTGGGACAGTGGTGGGGACAGCGGGGACAATGGGGAGAGTCGGACCGTGGTGGGGACTGGTGAAGACAGAGGGGACAGTGAGACATTGGTGGGGGCACTGGTGGGGACAGTGGGGACAATGGTGGGGACAGTGGGACAGTGGTGGGGACGGTGGTAGTGGGGGCAGTGGTGTGGGGACAGTAGGACAGTTGTGGGGACAGTTGTTGGGACAGTGGGGACAGTGGGACAGCGGTGGGGAGGGTGGTGGTGGGGACAGTGCAACGGGCGGTGGTGAGGACGGTGGTGGGACAATGGGACAGTGGTACAGTGGGGACAGTGGTGGGGACGGGACAGTGGTGGGAATCGTGGGACAGCTCAGTGGGACAGCGGCGGGGACAGTGGGGACAGTGGGACAATGGTGGGGACAGTGGGGACAGTGGGACGGTGGTGGGGACAGTGGCGACAGTGGGGACAATGCGTCAGTAGTGGGGGCACTGGTGGGGACAGTGGGGACAGTGGTGGGAGCAGTGGGGACAGTGGGACTGTGGTGGTGGTGACGGTGGTGCTGGGGACAGCGGGTGAGGGCGGTGGTGAGGACAGTGGTGGGGACCAGGGAGTCGTTTGCCGGCGGTGAGTGGGTGGGGAGTGGGTCTCGAACCGGTAGTGACCCCCACCGGTTTTTTTGGAGGGGGGGTGGGGGTTCGAACCGGTAGTGACCGCCCCCGGTTTTCCGGGGGGGGGAAGGGGTTAGGGGGGAAGGGGGTTTTGCTGGGGGAAGGGAGGGGGGGGGCAGATTTTCGGAGGGGGGGGGACCTCCAGGTTCCGGAGGAAAAGTGGGGGGAATTTGCCACAGTAAGCGGCGGTGGATCACGGCCTCTCATATTCACTGAGTCTCGGGATTCTTGTATTGAGCTAGCTGATCAGGCGGCAGAGGTCGGAAGCTGCTTTTCTGGTTGTCAGTTTGGCCTTCCCCGTTCTGTCCATCCTCCCTCACCTCGGGGGCGGCCAAGAGGAGGGTGATGACTAGGGGGGGGTGGATATCATGGCGTGGGATATGATTTTTTTCCGCCTCTTCTTATTTCATTACGTCCCTGCCCCCCCCCCCACTGGGCCGCGCACATGCCTCCGGCCATGATTTGCGCCCCCACCTTCTTGGACGCCCCCCTCTTGGCCCCTCCCGATCACCCTTCTGCCTCCCCCCACGATTTTCCCTGCCTTCGCTTTTTTGTGTGGCCCGCAGCGGCGGTTTCTCAGCGCGCCGATCGGTTTGCCGCTCGCGCTCGGGCGCGTCGGGCTGCCAGGCTGGGTTGTCGGCGATGTCCGCGGCGGGGCAGCTCGCCCGTTCACACCCCTCTGTGATGATTGAGCTCCGCCTCGGACTGCTTAGCCTGATTTTATAACGATCGTTCTCTTATGCATTGTTTTGCCGATCGGCGCGGGCCCTCGCACCCCCCCCTTCCCCCCCACCCGCGGAGTAGACCTTTGCCGTTTTTGGCGCCTGTTTCGAGCAGGTGGAGCCTCCCTCATAATGGACGCGCGGTTCCAAACAGTCGCGCTAAGCATAGGTCCGGAGCCAGACACCCCCCTTCCCCCCCCCTCCGCCCAATGCCGAAACGCCGAATAAGAAATCTCTCACATATGTATGTATGTACGTATG